TTAGCCAACCCGCACGGCCATCATAGCAGAGCACGAAGCCCAGCGGCCTGCCACCCTTTGGTCATCACGCCCGTGCCCGCGAACACCTCCTGGAGACACAGCTCTGCTCCTCGAACGGGAACACCCTTTCCGTGGCCCTTCGACCCAGCTTTGATGCAACCCACGATGGCCGCCGCCGCGAGATTGCTATCACGACGCGGCTGCCGTGCCACATCGCCGGCTTTGCGCCCCTTGCACAACCGGCACACCGAAGCTCCTGCGGCTGTCGGCTCTTGGTCATGACGCGAATGCCACAAGAACAAGAAGCCGAGCGAGGGCGTGTCATAGGCCTGCCAGCGCTCGAGGAACACATCAACGTCCAAGGTTAGCGGGGGCTCCAAGAACACCATGTGGCCCCGCCAGATGAGCGTCCACAAGACCCACCCATTCTCCTGCCAGCGAGTCCCCGTGACCGTCTCCACCACCACGTCCCCCTTATAGTCGGCGCGAATCACGATGAGCTTGCAATCCTCCAGCTCCTGCAAAGGGAAGACCGCCAGTGATCGGAAGTCCTTATCGTGGCTGGCCCGGACGATGTCGGGGGTGTAGACCCGGATCTCGGCCTCGATGGGAGCCACGCGAGCTGCTGGTTCACCCATTGCTGCCTGTGCTTCCAAGGCTTGGCGGGTCTGCTCCAAACGTAGTTCCAGCGCCTTGGCCCCAACCTCGTCACAGGTGGGCTTCCGTGCCAGCCATCTCCACATCACACCGGCCGCAATCGCCTTTGTGACGCATTGGCGCTTCTCCCACGCTTCCTCCGGCTGACGGAGCATGGCTGCCAGCTCCTCCGACATCCAGATCTCCTCCTTGTAGTCCCAGAGGATCCACGTCACGCCCTCGATCACGGCCGTGCCCCGTCCCGGTTGGTCCTGCTCCCAAAAGACTTCCGACACCACGATCCCTTCGTTCGAGCCTGCTCGGTGCCCACACTGGCTTTCCAGGATCTTAGACGCCTCGGCCGCCATCTCGCCCATGCCATAGGTAGCCATGTCGCCCAGGATCTCCTCCAGGTCGGCCTTTGGCGATCGAGCCACCCGAGCTGCCGCCCATGCAAACAGGTCGTCGGACGCCTCCTTGAGCTTGCTCAGTACGGGACCCGATGCCAGTCTTTCGGCCTGTTGCACCAGATCATGAGCTTCTTGGGGTGCAGACTCGCCGGTGGCCTCGTTGAAAGGCTTCGCGGGGGGCGCTTCGGTCGCCAACCATGATCTATCTGGCCCGTTCAAAGCCTCCCGCAACTCCTCCTCGGCCGTGGTGAAGTCAACGATCCCGAACTCCTCGGGTGTCTCGGCAAACTGAACGACCTTGTCGCCCCCGGCTCGCGTGCTGGGTCCCGCGGATTCTTCCGCTTGCTGCCGACTTCCTGCCCTCAGCGACCTTGCTGGCCCGGTCCTTTGCCACCGCCGTCCGCAGCGCTTTGATCTTCTCTGTGGCGCTCTCCTTGGTCTCCGGTTTCATGCGGCGCAGCCCGCCTCGACGAAGAAGCTGCATCTGCACACACGGGTCCAAACCCTCGAGTTTCCCTTGAAGGTCGTGGTGCGAGAGGTTGTTGCAGCCCATGTGGGTCAGCGCTCCCCAGCACAGCAGCTCCCCCTCCTTATCCAGAGGGGCTCGCTCCTTCGCGCGGTTGACCTCTTCGTTGGTGAGCTTGGGCCCCCACAGGCTCCGCAACGAGGGCTTCGACGGAGGCTCCGAATGATGATCACCTCCCGCATGGGCTGACGCCGAAGGCTTGCCACCACGACCTCCTTCCCAGGTGAGACGCCACAGCATGCGCTCCTGCCTGCGCTCGATCCGGGGGAGCACTTCTGACATGAACCAGCCCTCGGGCCGCCGAAGATCAAAGGTCTGTGGGAGCTCCAACCATGCAGTGCCGCTCGAGTTGGGGAGAAGAGCAAAGAACTTTATGTCCTGGAGCGACATCGTCTCCCTCCCAGCCTCCTTCTTCAGCAAGCGGAGGGTCTCCTTGAGCTCCTCAAAGAACCTCCAGTGCAGCTTGAGGCTACAGTGGTCGCGAACGGGGCGACAGGGGGTGGAACTGCTGGCAATACTTCGGAGAGTCGTAAGGATGGCAAAAGATTGGGGCGTCGCAACCTGGGTCGTGAAGCTTGACATTCAAAAGGCATTCGACTCCGTGAGCCAGGTCAGCATGGCACAACTCATCGCACGCAAGGTCGGGGGGATGGAAGACGAAGACCAGGGGGGCGGCCACCCAGCCAACAACATGGCCCAACCATGGGAAGCGCGGCTATGGACATCCCTACTCCAAGCACGGAGCCTCCACATAGCCACGGGGGATCACATTACATTTGTCGAGCAAACAAACGGAGTCCGACAGGGCTCCCCCTGACTCCCCAGTGGTGTTCGCAGCATTGACAGCAGAGGCGCTCGACAGAGCAGTCTCCCAAACAGCCCATTTGCTGGGGGAGGCCCGTGGCCCGCCGCCACCAGAACAAGGGGGGCGTACATGGACGACACATACCTCTGGTCACACGACAAGAAGCACCTCTAAGCTACCCTGACCGCATTAGAGGCACAACTGGCGCTGCATGGCCTCGCTATTAACCCCAAGAAAACAGCCATTATATACAGTGACGACGCAGACGGGGGGAAATTCAACATTGGGGGAGCCGCTGTTGCATGCCTCCCCTACGGCAGCACAATCACAGTCCCGGGATCTCCTCTCACCTTCGGGGAAGCAATCCCTAACCTCGTGGCCGAGATGCAGCGGAGAGGCCGGGCAGCCTTCAGGCAACACAAAGACATACTGTGCGCCCGCACCGACATCCGGGGGAGGCTGACGGCGTACAACGCACTTGTGCGCAACGCTGCACTCTGGGGGGGGAGACATGGCCGGTACATGACACACTGCTTAAACAAGCCAACCACATGCAGATGGACCACCTCAGACAGATGCTCCACATCAACAAGAAGCCGGGGGAGAACTGGGCCGACTGGAATAAACGAAGCCTCAGACAAGCCAGGGTGCAGCTGCACAAACAACGTGCAGCCAGGTGGAGCAGCTTCATACTGGAACGCATCTGGACCTTCTGGGGACACCTTGTCCGAGGGGGGGAAGAAGTTCGGGCTATGGTCGCCTGGAAAGACCTAGCATGCTGGCGGAGACAGCAAAGCATGGGAAACAGGGGGGTGAAACACAGACACAGATTCAACAGCAACTTGGACGTGGAAAGAGCACTTTGCAAAACCGGCGGGAGTGAGTGGATGCAAAACGCACAGAACAGGGAGCAGTGGAGATGCCTCACGCAAACCTTTGTCGAACAACACGACGTCCCCTGGGCAACAGGGCGACAACCAAAACTCGACAACCTCACACCCACAGCCCCAACAGGGGGGAGGAGATGGGGGGGGATGCTCGCGAATGACAGCTTCAACTGAGATGGCGGACCCCCCCCCCACCCCTCAATCCCTTCCTCGACAACTACCTACTCGAGCCCTTGACCTTCGACCCGAACCTTTATGAGACCTACTACCAGAACGAGAGAGGGAGACTTTTGCAACATGGGGGATGCCTGCGAACGACAGCCTCAACTGAGAGGGGGGACATCCTCTCGCAATCCTTCAAAATCCTCCTCGATTACCCGACCTTTCTGCAGTATGTCAACTACAAGTACAGTTAAAGGAACCGGGGAGCTAAGAAAGTCGCACCAGAAACACACCGTGACCTACTATCCGAACCTGCACTAGACCTACTACTTCAACGAGATATCGAGATGGTTACAGCAGCATAGGGGATTGACATGCCGTGCTTCTCTTGAGCCAAGCTGTCTTGCTTCTGCAGTCGAATGAGCTCCTGCGCCGGCCCTGCAGCTGTTTCCTTTCTTAGAGGAAAACAAGCGGCGCCATGACAGAGGCGGCCAGGTCAAGGCGGCGACCTCAGCGGCCGATCCGGGGGATGCCTCCTCTGGGACCGGGAGAAGTACCAGGAACAGCCCGCAACAGGCGCCGGGGGAGAAGCAAGAGGAGGTGGCCGCGGACGCAGACACAGGGGGGGACTCAAGCTCTGAGTCAACCTCGCCATCGGCCGCGAACCCCCGTCAGAGGTACCGGAGCGCAGAGGAGGGCAGTAAGAAAACTGCTCAGACAACTCTACGAAAAAGAATGGGGGGAACGCGAGATGGTTTGGAACAGCACAAGACGGGCTCTTTGCCACCAGGGGGACGCTGCCCCTACAGACAAGGTTCAGCTGCTGGACGCTGAGAAACGTGAGCGACTCGCTGACTCACTGTTTAATCAAGCGTACAGCACAGTCATGGCGGTGGGGACCTTTTCCTCAAGAGACCACGTCGAGAGCACCGTCGATACCTTGATAGGGGACCCCCTCAAGGCCAGCGAGTTGTGGCGGGCATGCAAAATACGATGGCATGATCGACTGGGGATCGGCGTGCACACCATCAGAGCCCTCCTGGGGAAGCCAACAGAGGAAGATCCCCACACAGCTACAAAGGGGGAGAAGCCAACAGAGGAAGATCCCCACGCAGCTGCAAGGGGGACGGCCAGTACGGCAGCGCCTCCACACAGCCCACTCGGGGGAACTGGAGCAGAAGCTGCGAGTCGAGCCCACCGTCGTCAAGGAGGAGGTGGATTGGGATAGCAGAGAAGACGAGATTATATAGAGACACCGCCTCTCTTGGAAGAGGGGGAAGACGCTGGGGAAGACGGCACATGGAGATCGAGACCTCAACGATGAATTGGGGAAGCAGGTCCCCAAAACCCCAGAGCTTCTCCTTTCCGAAGACGAGGGGGGAATCGAAGCAGGGATGAAGCAGCAATGGCCCTCACAAGAAGCGCTGGCTACGATATTCAGAGAGACTACACGGGAAGAGCTACGCAAAGAATGGGGGATGGACACCCCTTCCTCTGAACAGCCGGAGACACCACAGGGGGAGACCGACGAGCAGCCGGCTGGGGAGCGCAGCAGTGTCACACCACCACTGGAACAAGATGAGATAGTGCGCCAAGTCATGCCGGACCTCCGCGAGCATGGGGGAGGCGCCCGCCAAGCCGATACCGAGATGGAAGACATCCAGGTCGAGACTGAGGGGGAAGCAACAACCGCAGCTCCCTCAGCCAGAGTGGCGGGGGCGCAGCTTGGCGAACGAATCCGTCAACGTGCAGACCAAGAGCGAAAACGCACCCTCCAAGTGGGGGACATGGTGGTTAAATTACCCGCTCGCAGAGGTGGACTAGCCAGAGGTTCCCTACAAGCCAAAGTACAACGACTAGCTCGCGCCCTGTCCGCAAGCCATGCCGGGGAGGCTTCCACACAGCGTGGGGGGACAGCTGCAGAGTCGTTACGTAGCCAGATGACCAGACTTGCCAAGACGCTGGATGAGGGGGAGGGCTTCGAAGCCAGCCGGAAAGACCGCCGTAAGAAAAGAAGGGGGCCAGCAGCAGATCGGCCTCCATTCCGTCGACGCCGTCATTTGAACGCTATCTGAGGGGAGGCCGCTGTATAGTCCCTCAAGGACGACCCAGGAATTCGGGGATTCTTGGGGATGCTGCCCATCGGTTCAGGGGGCGCACATTCTGCGACTAGCTCACACGTACTGTGTGTCCTCACAGTTCAGCCCGGAAAGCCTTAGGCTATCTGCCAGCTGCCTTACCTAATTAGTTTTTGCAGGAGTCGAAGGGGATGCCTCAAACGCTGGGGGTGCCCCATGCTCGTCGAAAGAGGATGAGCTACCTTCTCTCGGCTTGCCGTTGAAACCATGTTTTTTAGCTCATGAGTTGGTTGCAGTCGTTTCAAGGCGATGCCGAAAGAATCTTTCTCTCAGAGCTCGGGGGGGGATGCTAATACAGCCAACCCTGAAGGACCAAGGACTCGGCTGCGCGCATCGCGTGGGGGAGGGTTCCCAAGGGGGCTCTCTCTC